GGGGGTGTCATATCCACAGGACCGACCCTAACTCATCTTTTGCATGTTTTTCGAAGCCCTGCATCTGCAGGGGGAAGGGGGGGGGGAAGCTATGCCAATAAAAGAGATGGTGTCGACATCGATCTGCAGGATTCCATGAATTTTCAAGGAGTGTGGAATGTATAAGCTTAGTTTAGTTATAATGGCAAACTGAGGTCTGCCAGTATACGGACAAACTTGCAGGATCCTTAAAGGGGGGGGGCACATTGAGGCCCTGTGGGTGGGAAGGGGCCTGCCAAGCCGAGCGAACTTCATTGTTACTTTGCACGGGAAGCTGAGAAGCTCAGCATCAATAGTGTGTATCTGTCGCCTTTCTCCTCTCATGTTGGCCTGGGCTCCCAGAAAGCTTTTAAAGATGCCTCTTCCTAGAGTCCTCTGCAACACTCAGGAATGTCAGTGGAATGAGAGAAACTCGCCTGTCTATCAGAATATGAGAGACCGGGACCTCTCGAAAGTTTTCCAGGTACCCACAGGAGCCTGGGAGATTTTGAAAAAACAAACCAAGTTTCAGTAGGGGAGGGCTGAGAAATGAGGATTGGGTCTGTTATGGAATGAATTTACTGGACACTTCTCATGTTTTCCCCCTACCCCCCATTAAGAAGTTTGCTAATGGCTTGAATCTTGCCTGGGAACCCCACTGTCTGTGGGAGGGAAACACAAGCCCATTTCACACGTTACAGTGAACACACCTATATCCTTCATGTATGTGTGTCCATCTGTTTGTTAGAAAGAGCTAAGATGTGCTCACTTTAGAAACCAGGGACTGTGTTGATACGTTGACTGTGTCATACATTTTTCGGTATGAGCTTGGAAAAATGTGTGGTTTCAATCATGCATCGAAGGTAAATGTTAGAGAAGCTTTGCACATTCTAGTACAGGCCCCTCCCCTCCAAGGCTATCTGGGAGAGACAACAGTCACTCAAGTTCTTCTTTTATAGGATAAAACACAGAAAAGAACAAAGTTCAGAATTCCAAAAGAAAGTTCACCAATTCCATCTGTATAGGTTCCTGCCCTCATGCCTGTCCAGAAATGAGGGGAAGCCTATACTTTTACAATACATTACACAACAACCCAGAAAGGTATGCTATCCTCTCTGGATTTCAGAGCAATATGCCACCAGAATCCCTTTTTAACTAGTCCCAGCTTTTCCCCAAGGGAGGCATTCCAAACCTTTAGGTTAGCCTCTGGGACAGAACACACTAGCACCTCCTAGAGATGCACACTTACTGCTCAATGGTAGTGGGTGTGGTCAGCGTTCAGGCTGCAAGATCTAGGCTTAGAATTCAGTTACAACATCAAAGACAAGTTAGAAACTAGGATAAGTTTATTCAGTACAGAACTTAGCATAGACTAGAAGGATTTCAAAACAAGAATGGCTAGGGCAGTTTGCCTTAACTAAACAGTAATTCATATTTACCAATTCAGGATAACATCCAAGAGTTCAAGATTGTCCATTGTAATAATCCAGGTATAGCCAGGAGATCCTAAATTGTTTTGAAGCCAGAAGTTCAACAGGGTGAGCAAGCCTCAGTTTAAAAGGGGGAGGAAGACACTTTTCAGATAGGGGACTCACCCCTCTAGCAGCTCTGTCTCCTGCTCCTGCTCAGAGCTCAGCTGGGTCTCCAGCTGTTAGAAAGAGTTAAGATGTGCTCATTTTACAAACCAGGGACTGGTACTTGGAAAAATGTGTGGTTTCAATCATGCATCGAAGGTAAATGTTAGAGAAGCTTCTAGTACAGGCCCCCTCCCCTCCAAGGCTATCTGGGAGAGACAACAGTCACTCAAGTTCTTCTTTTATAGGATAAAACACAGAAAAGAACAAAGTTCAGAATTCCAAAAGAAAGTTCACCAATTCCATCTGTATAGGTTCCTGCCCTCATGCCTGTCCAGAAATGAGGGGAAGCCTATACTTTTACAATACATTACACAACAACCCAGAAAGGTATGCTATCCTCTCTGGATTTCAGAGCAATATGCCACCAGAATCCCTTTTTAACTAGTCCCAGCTTTTCCCCAAGGGAGGCATTCCAAACCTTTAGGTTAGCCTCTGGGACAGAACACACTAGCACCTCCTAGAGATGCACACTTACTGCTCAATGGTAGTGGGTGTGGTCAGCGTTCAGGCTGCAAGATCTAGGCTTAGAATTCAGTTACAACATCAAAGACAAGTTAGAAACTAGGATAAGTTTATTCAGTACAGAACTTAGCATAGACTAGAAGGATTTCAAAACAAGAATGGCTAGGGCAGTTTGCCTTAACTAAACAGTAATTCATATTTACCAATTCAGGATAACATCCAAGAGTTCAAGATTGTCCATTGTAATAATCCAGGTATAGCCAGGAGATCCTAAATTGTTTTGAAGCCAGAAGTTCAACAGGGTGAGCAAGCCTCAGTTTAAAAGGGGGAGGAAGACACTTTTCAGATAGGGGCTTGGAGGCTCTGCTTAACAGCATCAGACTAGCCAGGATTTTTTTAATTTATTTATTTGCTTTTTAGGTAGTGTGGGCAGGCTTCAGGAAGAAGGCTTATTTTCAGGTGATAAATAAGTATTCTGGTTAACAGCCAGAAGCACCAAATCTATCTAGGCAGTTTCTGGGAGCCAGGGAGTGTGAAGTGAAAGGGTAAACTTGCACCCCTGAGGGAACCTGCGTTTTGTTAACCAGATCCATTAAACCTCCTAGCCTGAGGAAAACTTTCTGAGGAAAGGAAGCAAGACTCTCTCCTCAGTGTTTATTTACTGGAGTTGGGCCCAGTTTCAAAGTATTCAGTCTCTTGGGGGGAAAGGTTATAATGCTGTGTCCCAGTTGTGAGTCATTTTTTCCAAAGCTGAAACTTCCCACACATAACCCTCTGTTGAAAACCTATTTTTTTTCTGTTTGAAGAAAATATGTCATTTTGCTTTCACCTGTGTTTTGTGTGTCCAGTTGAATATTTAGTGAAAGGGAGAGACTAAATTTGCCTTAGAAGTGCATCTGATATTTTTGTAAAAGTGTCTTAAGAAGAGACTTGTCTGGGCAGACAGTATATACTCTACCAAAACTTCATCATAAACTCTTGTCACCCATTCTCATGAACGGGGACGGTTGTTGATGATTCAAAGATAAAGAGAACACATGAAGCTGCTTTAGTGAATCAGAGCCTTCATCAAATGTTAGCTGCTGTCCAGGGTCTCAGACAGAGATCTTCCATGTCACCTACCACCTGATCCTTGTAGCAGTAGATGCCAGGGATTGAACCTGGGGCCTTCTACATGCCAAGAAGAGGCTCTGCCACTGAGCCAAAGCCCATGTACTGCATTACAGGCTCTCCATTTTAGAAACCACATTACATGCTCGCCAGGCAACAAAAGAAGACCCTCTGTGTGTGTATGTGTATGTTTTAAGTGCTGTCAAGCTGCTTCCAACCTATGACAACCCTATCAATTAATGACCTGTAAAACGTCTTATCGGAAGGCGAATCGGAAGATGCAAAGTGACAATTGCATGCTGTGACTGGAAAGCGATGACCCGGAAGAGAAGCTGTGAAACGGAGAGGAGCGCAGAGGAGGACCTCCCCTGTCGCCTGGGAGAAGAAATCAGCCCGAAGATGGAAGAATTAATTCGCAGAGCGTCTGAAAAGCTTTTTATTAACAGTTTAACAGTGGGACACTACTAATTCCTTATTTTTAACATTCTTTTTTTTTTTCTGTAACACCACAATGAAGCCAAAGAAGATTTTTTTTTTACTAACCTTAACAGACTAACAAACTAATGGAAACATCATTCGACCTTTTCTTTACCCCGCTATATACCCTCCCCCCTTTCTAATATAAAAAGCAATAAAGTTCTCTCCTTTTTAGGAGAGTTTATAATAATAATAAAAAATGACCTGTAAAACGTCGTATCATTAACAGCCTTGCCTCAGGTCTTGCAAACTGAGGGTTGTGGCTTCCCTTATAGAATCAATCCAGCACATGTTGGGTTTTCCTCTTTTCCTGCTGCCTTGACTTTTCCTAGCATTACTGTCTTGTCTAGTGGCGCTTGTCTTCTTACGACATGACCAAAGTACTGTAGTCTCGTCACTTTAGTCATTTTAGCTCCTAAGGAGAGAGTTCAGGCTTGATTTGATCTGGAACCCACTTATTTGCTTTTTTGGTAGTCCACGATATCCGTAAAACTCTCCCAGCACTCTGAAGGGATTTAAAACAACACAGTCCTAAACGCAGAAAAGCCTTGAGCCCGGAGTACAGTTTCCTCAGGGCTTCATCCTTCTCAGCCTTCTTCCGAAACTTCAGCAAATGAGCTGTGGCTCAGTGCTACAGCTTGGCATGCAGAAAGTCCCAGTTTAATCACTGGTATCTCCAGTTAAAGGGGCCAAGTTGTAGGTTACATGAAAGACTCCACACCCCGGGCCCCTGGAGAACTGCTACCAGTCAGGCTACTGACCCTTGTAGACAGATGGTGTGACTCAGTAGCCTCATGTGTTCATGAGCGAAGAAGTTCAAACAATCCCTGGGTTAACAGCATTCTCAGAACATTGCTATTCAATCACCACCTATTCATTTAATTCTGGACTTTACTTTTGAAACAAAGTCCATATTGACTGTACCCTTCTGCCCAGTTTCTCCCATTTGCTCATCATCCCGGTTTTCTGTCTCCCTACGGAAGCTGCCAGATCTGGGGGACTTGACTATGGAACTGAGTACTGGAATACCAAAACCCACTTCAGAGCATGTGAAGAGTGGGGAGGAAGAAGGCTTGAGCCCCCAGTCCTTTGCAGCTGAAAAACGGGGCTATGGAGGAAGCTCTGTATTCCCTTGTTCAGGCCATGGAGTCACACATTGGTGTCCCAATTCCACTCCTAAGGTTTTACTGCCCTCTGCCGGTTCTCTTCCTCTATGGAAAGTTTGATGCCCAAGTTCAAAGTTCATAGAAAAGACTGCCGTTTCTGTCTAGCTGTGATTTTTCGAGTAGGTGGCAGTGTTTTCTATTCTCTTCTGTGATGGGGCCCTTGCGCTGGGGGATCTGCTCTGCCGGGAAGATCAGCCACGATTTCCTAGTGGCCCTGAAGACTCTGCCACCCGAGGATCATAAGGTAGGATGGAGAGAGTGGGTGGTGGGGAAGAGACGGGCACCCATACAGGAGTCAGGACTAAGTGGGAATCTCTCTTACTTCAGATGAGTTCTGGACTACTTTTAGCAGCTCAAACTAGTGCTCACGGTAGGGAACTGGGACCCCTGGGTTCTCGGGGAGCAGAGGAGGGCTGGTTGGTCTAACTAGAATCCAAAGTGTTTGGTGGGGGGGGGGCTGAATCCTGAAACGGGAATGCTAGATCTTCTGGGAAAGGCATGGTCTTTCAAGGGCAACAGCAGAAAAACTGGAAGTACAACTTCTGCGGTAATGTTAGGCACAACAGGGGTGGGTGGTGGGTGAGAGACACCCCATGACCCTTGAGAAGAGGCCCCTTTCTTTTGCCCTAAGATTACAGTGGTAGATGAAGGTGGAATCCCACCCAGGTTAATTCTGTGTCCCAAGGTGGTGGCCATCGCTTCTCGTGAACTCAGCCGGGCACAGAAATATGCCCAGACATACAACATCCCCAAGGCCTATGGGTCTTATGCAGAACTGGCTCAGGATCCAGATGTCGGTGAGCAACTTTCGTCTAAACACCGGGGCGGGGGGGGGGCTTGACAAGTGAACATAGATGGCTGTGTTGCAGGGTGGGCATGCAGAAAATGCCATTTAATTTCACGCTCACTAAACAGGGCAGCTTTTTAACTCCGTAGACAGGGGTCATTTCCAGGCCTGCTACTAGAGGTCCTTTTAATCAGGGGTCCCAGCTTGTTGCCCTTTCTCAGCCTGACCTACCTTTAAGCCTTGTTGTGTGGATATAAGGGGTTTAAATATATATGTATTGTTTTTAAAAGTTGAGTTTAATGTATTTTAAATTGTCTGCTGCCCTGAGGGCCCTAATAGGCAGGAAAAGCAGCACACAACTAATTTTAATTTTTTTTAAAAAAAAACATACCTTAGGAAGGGGAATCTTGCCTGGTACCACAACACCAGAAGTATTGGAGGAGAGGTAGTAGAAGAAAAGCGGAAAGCTTGTAGAGTAGGTGTGAATGCATAGAGGATGGGGCTATTCCCCCCCTCCCCATTCTGAACCCTTCTTCTGAATTAGGCATTTTCTTTTCCTAACTCTGCACTCCTCTTGGATGCCTTCTCTTCTACAGACGTGGTGTACGTGGGGGTGATCCATCCGTATCATCTCCCATCCACCCTCCTCTTCATCCAGGCTGGGAAGAATGTGCTCTGTGAGAAGCCCTTGGGCATGAACTCTGCAGAAGTCAAGGCGATGGTGCAGGCAGCCCGAGAAAAGGGAGTGTTCCTCATGGAGGTAACGTAAGAGGCTGTAGTACCTCCTAACGTTCAAAGCTGGGACTACCTGGCAAGGCCTCTAGAAGATCTCCTCTCTGCACTTAGTGGCCACCCAGGAAACATTTATTCATATGTGTATTGTACTCTTCTAATCTCCTTAGTGGGAATCCAAAATGGTTTACAGCAAGCATTGTTCTTCCATGTGGGATTTATTACAAATCCACAGGGCCTGCAAAATGGAGCTGTTCCGCCAGGCCTTTGGCTGAGGTGGCGGATGTCCAAACAACACTGGCCTTCCCTGCCTCGCTCACTTAATCTGCCCACTTTGCCTTCCTGCTTTAGGGCACTGCCTTTACCAACTTGGCACCAGCACCAGCTGACTTGGGTCTCTGTAAGAGAAATGTGCCTTTCCTAGCATTAGTGCAGCAGGCACTGTCATTAGAAATCATTAAGCTGCCATCAGGAATTTTGACTGCAACTGTTCTTTTGGTGTTTTATTATTTATTGCTGAATGATCAGTGTCACGGCTCAGGTGGGGTGTCACCTGACGCTGCCACCACTCTGGTTCCAGGCTCCTTTGAGAAGGCCCAGAGCACCCTCCCAGGCCTTTAGACCTCCCTTTTAGCCAAAATGAGCGTGACGACCAGGCAGAGTGAACAATATAAACAGTTTATTTTATAGGAGGTCAAACAAACAAGGTGCAGAATAATAACAGTAAGTGGGTGAAATGCAATCAAATGCCCTAACACGTCTAAATATATACTGTCCCTAGCTCACTATCTCAAGTGGCCTTAGACTACTCACCCTTCCCTCAGGATGAGGGTTTCTTCCCCACAGCAGCCTCTATCCCGGCCGTTCCCTGGGAAGAAGAACAGCTTTTTCTCTTGCACCAGTTCTTTTATTCCCCAGCCGTCTTCTTCTCTATTGGTCAAAATCGGCACCAAAACTCCCCAAGGCCTTCTGGGGTTTGTAGGCCCAGCCTCCCCTACTGGTAGCCAGACTCCTTGGGCCTAGTAGGCCTCTGGTGGCACAGCTCAGATCATAACATCCAGTTATTGTTTTACTGAATTTTGTAATCCACCCTGAGCCCGCTTGTAGGGTAAGGCAGGCTACAAACTGAACGAATGAACAAAGAATGAAAATCCACACAACAACCATCCTATAAGGTAGTGCTGCTAGCCCAAGAGCACCCAGTGAGCCTGCCTCGGCAGCAGAGAACTGGAACTCGAGACTCCTCAAATCCTTCTCTGACACTCTAATGACCATCAATGGCTTGGTACAAATGAGGTTCATATGGTCAAATATGGTATGAATTTCTGCCTCCAAAGACATGTAAATCCAGATGCAACTTCTTGGATAACTTACTTCTCCTATTGTAGGCCTTTTGGAGCCGTTTTTTCCCTGTTTCAGAGAAGCTTCGCTCCCTGCTGAGGCAAAGGACCATTGGGGACGTGGTGATGGTTCACGCTGATTTTGGCTTGCCTCTGATAACAGTCCCCAGGACTACAGAGAAAGAGCTGGGAGGAGGTGGCCTGCTGGATATCGGCCTCTATTGTGTCCAGTTCGCCTGCATGGTCTTTGAAGGAGAAAAGCCTGAGTCCGTTGTGGCCTCTGGTTTCCTGCATGATACAGGTCAGTCATGGGGCGTGTGTTTGGGGGAGGGTTGCATCCATGGGGGTTTCTGGAAGGATAGCCAAACCCCAGGAGTGTGGCTTGGTGCTCCAAAAAGAATTATTTATTGTAAACTGCATATTTAAGCTTCAATGAAATTGAGACATCTTGCAAGGATGACTTTGCAGTAGCAGAAGCAGTGTGGGGGATACAATGGTCAGGAGAAGACAGAAAAGGTGGAAAAGGAACATGATTGGCCAGCTGACACGGTGGAGTGGTAATTTTTGCACTAGGATCTGGAACACCCAGGTTTGAATCCATACTCTGCAATGAAGCTTGCTGGGTGACCTTGGGGCCAGTCACTCTCTCTCTCTTAGCCTAACCTACCTAACTGCTTTGGGTCCCCACTGGAAAGGAAGGTGGGGTATAAAAAATAGCCCTGTTTATATCTGAGGAAGTATGTGTGCACATGAAAGCTCATACATTCAATAAAACTTTGTTGGTCTTAAAGGTGCCACTGGGCTAGGGTTGTCAGCTCCGGGTTGGGAAACACCTGGAGATTTTGGGGATGGAGCGGGATTTGGGAAGGGGAGGGACTTCAGCAGGGTATACTACAATTAGAGTCCACCTGCCAAAGTGGCAATCTTCTCCAGGTGAATGGATTTCT